TTTTTGAGACAGAGTCTCTCACTCTGTCGCCCAGGCTAGAGTGCTGTGGCATCAGCCTAGCTCACAGCAACCTCAAACTCCTGGGTTCAAGCGATCCCCCTGCCTCAGCCTCCCGAGTAGCTGGAACTATAGGTGTACGCCACCATGCCCAGCTAATTTTTTGTTTCTATTTTTAGTTGCCCAGCTAATTTTTTTCTATTTTTAGTATAGACGGGGTCTTGCTGTTGCTCGGGCTGGTCTTGAACTCCTGACCTTAAGCAATCCTCCCGCCTCAGCCTCCCAGAGTGCTAGCATTATAGTTGCGAGCCACTGCGCCTGGCCAGTTTGCTAATAACATTTGAAGTGCACATAAAAGTTCTATTTTTGGAAGCTAGAGGTGGTGCTTAGAAGTGTCACTGTATTCCTTCTTGCTGTAGAACCCCTTGGATATTACTGTTGTGTCCTCCCCAGGGGTCAGAGCCATCCTTGTTTAGCAGTGGCAAAGTTCTAGGACACTCAACACATGGCGCAGATGTCACTGAGGTGTGTGAGGAACTGTAACTTAAAGTGAGCAGTGCTGACATGAGCCTGGGAAACACTCCAGTGGCCTCAGTTCTCCATGGACCTCACTGAGAATTGGGAGGTCTGGCTAGGAATGAGGGTAGGGGTGAGCAGTGGGCTTGGAAATGTTAATCTCTCAGCCTCAGTTTCCTCATCTATACAATGACAATAGGAATGTCTATATTTTGGGCTTATGAGAATTGGTAGAGAGGATATATGTGAAATTATCAGGCACATAATTTTTTTGTTTTAGACTTACATGCAAAACATTGTCTAATTCCTTAGATGGTCTGCCATCTGCATTCAAATTTACCTTATTGTTTTTTCTTTTTTTAATTTAAAAGTTAATAAAAAATTTTTTCTTTTTTTTGACATGGGGTCTCACTCTTGCTCAGGCTGGTCTTGAACTCCTGAGCTCAAGCAATCCTCCCACCTCGGCCTCCCAGAGTGCTAGGATTACAGGCGTGAGCCACCAAATTTACTGTATTTATTGATGGGTCTCCTTTGTCCCCACTCTCTAATGTGGTTGTAGACAGGTCTTGTGCTTCTTGTGGTTTAGAACCTTGGGAGTCTGAGTGGGGAAGAGCGAGTAAAGTCAGCCATTCCTGGGCCTGGGGTAATTTCCAGCAATGGAGCTGGCTCCCAGAATGTATGTATATGTGTTCACTGAAGCTTGGGTCATGACTGATCATAAAGGTAATCTGTGGGGACAGAGTGGCTCCTGTTTGTGGTCTGTGATAGCCAGGCAGCAAGTAGGAAGACTGGGTCTTTTGTGACAGGGAACAGAAATGGGTGGTTATTTTGCAGCCTTTGTAGGTTTGAATGTCAGCAGTGATGGGACATTCAGGTGTGCTCTCAGCTGGGGCAGGTGCAGGGTGTCCCTTCATTTTCTTTTTCTCCTGATTCTCACAGATCCATTGGCCCCTTTGCCTTAGGCGGGCAGGGCCAAAGTGATGTTCTCTGTAAAGAGAGGTTGGGCCTCTGTGCTCTTTCAGTGCAAACCTGCCAGTGATTTTATGGTTTTTCTCCTAGGTCTGCTGACATTTGTGAACTGTGCCTATGTCAAGTGGGGCACACGTGTGCAGGACACGTTCACTTACGCCAAGGTCCTAGCGCTCATTGCCATCATTGTCATGGGCCTTGTTAAACTGTGCCAGGGTAAGAGGGGCCCAAGGTGGGAAGGGGGGTGCATGTCTTCAGGAGGTCCTCTGGATTCCCTGAGGAGGATGTGGGAACTCTATTAGCTTTGCCACTCAGCTCTGTCTGTGTACGTGCTAGTATGTGTCAGTGAGGGCAAGAGATGAGAATAAAGTTCTTCCTGGGCTTCTTGGGCCAGATGGATATTAGTCAGCTCCTCCCTCAGGGCTACTTTCCCCTGTGGAGGCTGGGAGCATTGCAGGAAGCCAGCCAAGACCCTAGGAGCTCTTGAAGGTTGGGTCATAATTTGGTTATAAAAGTAATCTGTGGGGATAGAGTGGCTCCTGTTTGTGGTCTGTGACTGCCAGGCAGCAGGTAGGAAGGCTGGGCCCTCCTTGAGTGGGAATGGAAATGGGTGGTTATTTTGCGGCCTCTACTTTTCATCAGGACTCGCATTCAGCATTCCTTCCCAAAGGCAGCTCTTGGCAAAATATGAAAATATTGTGAAAGTGGCACTGTTTTTCCTGCATGTTGGCTTTAGAAAGCTTTTCATTCCTGGATCAGAGCCAACTGGCAGTGAGGGTAACAGGCCTACAAGATTTCCTGAGCCCTTGCAGAAGTCCTGAGGTGTCTTTGTTTCACAGTGTCACTCTGTTGCCCAGGCTAGAGTGCCGTGGCGTGATCATAGCTCACAGCAGCCTCAAACTCCTAGGCTCAGGCAATCCTCCTGACTCAGCCTCCCCGAGTATCTGGGACTACCAGTGCGCACCACTGCACACGACTAATTTTTCTGATTTTATGAGTGATGGGATCTCACTCAGGTTGGTCTCAAACTCCTGACCTCAAACAATCCTCCTGCCTTGGCCTCCCAGAGTGCTAGGATTACAGGTGTGAGCCATTGCGTCCGGCCCAGAGGTGTCTTTAACCAAGGATATCTCAATTATTTCACAACCCAGTTCTCTAGGCCATCAATCCCTAAATGTGGCCGGGTGAGGTGGCTCATGCCTGTAGTCCCAGCTACTCGGGAGGCTGAGGCAGGAGGATGACTTGAGCCCAGGAGTTTGAGGTTGCTGTGAGCTAAGCTGACGCCACAGCACTCTAGCCAGGGCAACAGAGTGAGACTCTGTCCCAAAAAAAAAAAAAAAATCCCTAAATGTGTCTGTGTTTATAGTCACCAGGGGAGCTAAGACCCTCATCTCAGACCTATTAGCTCACATGCTTGTTGGTTTGTTGTCTTATAAGCTGTGCTTTTAAGAAGTGCTCTTAGTGATTCTTCGGCAGCTGCTCTAGCACCTTTTTGCACTTACACCAAGTTAGTACAACTAGGCATCTGGATGACCCTGGTGGCTCAGAAGTATATTGGGGTCAAATTGGGTTGTTGAGCAATCCTCCTCTCAAGGTCTGTGCCTTAGGGAAGCACTGCTGTGTGTGGTGACTGACACCACTGGAGGATAGGGTCTCTATTTTCCCTTCTCTTGTGGCACACTCAGCCCTTTTGCCACATTGATAGCTGGGTCTAGGTTTTGTCCAGGACATTATAACAGGCTGCCTTAGAAGTCTGGATCTTAGTAAAAACGCCAATGTGTCCCAAAGATCTCTGTCCTGGGTAGCTGAATGCTAATCCTGGGCTTTCAGGTCTGCAGTCTCCAGAGACCTCCAAGGAGAATGACAGGTGCCTGGGCCTGGGCTGGCTCCCTGAAGGCTAGAGATGGCCCAGACCTAGCCCAGGCACATGGAAAGCTAAGAGACCCCAGTTCTCCTATAGCCAGTGATTTCCTGCCCCGTGAAACCATAGCCACTGCGAGTAGCAGCGTACTCTCCATGAGACTGATAAACCCATTGAACCAAATTGTGCAGTGGTCTGGGCCAAGAGAGGTGGTTCCACAGAAGTTCTAATTATCGATGAAAAATAACTGCTTTATGTGAGACTGGGTTCTTTATAAAAATAGGAAGAAGAGCTGTGGCCTGCTGTGAGGCCACTTGGAGGAAATGGAAATTCTTTAGGGTTTTGGAAAAAGTGTTGTCACATCAGAGGGCAGCCAGGAATGCCTTTGTTTTTCTGAGATTGTCTAGTTTTACTAAAGGAGTATGAACTTTCCTGAGGGAGTGGGTGGGGTGGTAAAGTGCAGGGAGCTAGTAGTTGTTGATCTTTTGGTGTTAAATTATGTTTTTTTCTTCCCCCTGCCCTCTTGTTTTTTCTTTCTTGTCTCTCCCTTCCTACCCCTTTCTCCTTGTTTTCATCTTCCCTTCCTCTTTGTTACTGTCCCTCCCCATCCTTCCTCTTCTCCTTATACCTTCCATCTGTCCTCCCCACTTTTCCTCTGACCTGTCACTTCTCCCTGAACCCCTCACCTGCCTTTGCCTCCACAGGACACTCTGAGCACTTTGAGGACGCCTTTGAGGGTTCCTCCTGGGACGTGGGAGACCTCTCTCTTGCCCTCTACTCTGCCCTCTTCTCTTACTCAGGTTGGGACACCCTTAATTTTGTAACAGAAGAAATCAAAAACCCAGAAAGGTAAAGGCGGGATCACACTCTCACTCCTCAGCTTGGCTGGAACTCCTGCTGATAGTGGGCATGCTTGCCCTCTCCCCTCTCCTTCTCCCTCTGCCTCTCATGCTCTCTTCTCCTACTCCCCCTTCTCCAGGTAGGAGGGGCCGAGGGCTAGGATGGAGTGAGTGAAGGTGGGGAAGCCTTTGGGTCCTGGCCCACATGTTCACACGGCAAGGTCCCCCGAGTCCTTCTTGGAGAAGAGCTCCTTCAGTGGGGAGCAGCAGACCCAGCTGGGGCTAAGGTGTTAGGACCTTGCACCCTGGTGCTGAGACTGCAGCCTGCAGAGCCAGAGCTTATTCTGGCCAGCTGGGTTCCCAGCCCGGCCTCTAATCCCCAGAGGACACAGTTCCTTGTCCTGAGATGGAGGAGGATTTTGAAACCCTGTGGGACCATTGGCCCTTCTGTGGCAAGGATCCAATATTGATCATGACCTGTCTTCATGAGAAAGGTCTCTCTCTCTCAGTAGAAGTAGCCCAGGGTGTGGGACGCTTGCCCACCATAAGCCACAGGGGAAGACGAGTCTGCCTCAAAGACCTAGAGGCCAGTGAACTGTTAAATTCCAGAGGAGACTTGATGAACTTTGATCCCAAGGAGAGGCTGGTTCTAGGTAGTCCTGTCTCACTTGTCCTGACAGAAATTTGCCCTTGGCCATTGGGATTTCTATGCCAATTGTGACGCTCATCTACATCCTGACCAACGTGGCCTATTACACAGTGCTGAGCATTTCAGATGTCCTTAACAGTAATGCCGTGGCTGTGGTGAGTCTGTTGTTCCCTATTTGCTCATCATCTCATGATACTTTGCCCTCCTGAATGGCCCAGACCCTCTTTCTGTGGCCCCTTCAGCTCTGTAGGATGAGGTCATGTGTCTAGGCCAGAGGGTGGGCCACTCAGCAGTGACTGCATTTGTCCTGAGATCATAGATGCAGGAGGAAACCCTGTCCTCTGTTGAGTTCCCCTTCTGTGCTCTGCCCCTAGACGTTTGCTGACCAGACATTTGGCATATTCAGCTGGACCATCCCCATTGCCGTTGCCCTGTCCTGCTTTGGGGGCCTCAATGCATCTATCTTTGCTTCATCAAGGTACTGTACCTCTGCATCACTGATGATGGACTGCAGTGTTGAATTGTCTGGGGCTCTAGGTATGAGAGCTCCTTTTTTCCCTTCTTCCTCTCAAGGGCATACAGGGTGTAAGTGTGTGTGTGTGTGTGTGTGTGTGTGTGTGTGTGTGTGTGTTTGTGCACATGTGGTTGCTTTTTTGCAGAAGTATGTGCTGGTAGCTCATGCTTCCATCTAAAGTGAGGACAGATTGATAAAGGGTGTAGGGGAGGAAGGCAATAGCTTGGAGTAGTGAACCTGGCACAGACCAGGTTCTAGACTCCTCATGGGTTATGCTGCAGCCCTAGGATTCATTCCTTCAGTGAATGGTAACTGGGAACTTGCTGTGTACCAGGTACTCAATGCTACATACAGGATGACTCTGCCCCTGACTTCCTAGAAAACATTGAGGCCATCAGGTAGTCTGCTCTCCTTTCTCCTTTCTGACTTAACTATAAGAGCAATTGTCCTTCCTGCTGTTGCAGAGGAAGGAGCAGGTCTGCCTTTTCTGGCTGACTCTGCTACCTAGTCTCAGGGTTCCAGCACTTCCCCTCTTCCTCTGCACTCTGCATCATCAATTGGTCCTTCTCTTTGGTGGATGTTCACGTGGAGCCAGCTCTCCCCAAGCTTCTCTCATCTGCACCTACAGAACTCAGCTTTTCCCACTCCCTCTTGTCCTTACTGGATGCACTTCTTGAGAAAGTAGTCTGCATTTCACCTTGCATTCATTTTTCCACTCATTGTAGTTTGGCTTCTGTTACCTGAAAAACATTAAGGTATGTCTTTCTTAGCCTGCTTTTTAGTCCTTACCCTACTGGACCTCTGAAGGGAGTGAGGCTGACCACCTTCTAATTCTGAAACTATTCTCATGGCTTCTGTCTCACCTGATACTTGAGAAGAAGGCTTCTTTCCTGATTTCTTCTCACCCTATAAATGTTGCTATCCTCAGGGCCAGGAGTATAATAGCCCTTCAATAAATATCTGCCACTTGAACACATAGAAAGATGAATCAATAAAAGAAATAATTTGTCCCATTCATTCTTCTTACTGGTTTTCACACACCAGTCCATGTTCTTGGGGCCTCCCTGTGGCAACCAGAGAAATAGAGAGATCAAGCCCTTGTAAAAGAATATAGCATCATGTACTCTTACCTGAGCCTGGTGCGGCCAAGGTTGTACCTGATGTGGCGTTTTACAGGCTGCCCCACCCAAGATGGTGTTTCCAATAACCTCACCCTTACTGATACTCCAAGACTTCTCAGTTGGCTCTGCCAGTTGTCCCAAAATAAATACTTAGCATGTAATTGCCCTCCTACCTTATTCAGATGTCTTATGGCATTGACAGGGTGGGTCCAGAGGGAGGACTTGGCGAGAAAGAATCTATAGCAGCACATAAAGGGGACTGCAGTGATGTCAAGATAGAGCACAATTGTTTCTGCCTGTGTTACCATCTTCACATTTTCTTTACTACCCATGCAGCTACCCTTGGTTTTGTACTAAACATTTTTGCCTTCTTTCCCCTTCTGGCATCCTCTCTACCATATTTCTCTTTTACCTAGTACAAATTATTAACCTCATGAGCCAATTTTGACATCTTGCTCTATGACACCTTTTTCCCTGTGGCTCCACCTGGATGGCACCCAAGTATCTCAGACTTCCTATGCACCCCACATGTGATTAGTCTCCAGTTGTGCTGTTGTGGTCCATCAGTCTTCCCTGCTTGGCCTCTTGATTTTTCCCTTGGTGTCCACCCTTTCCCCTAGCTCAGACATGCACATGTACACACATACATGTGCACACACACACATATGATCACCAAATTTGACATGATTGAGGTTATCATATCTGTCTTGTTCTCTCCTCTGCCAGGATGCCCACTCTCATTCAAAGTCACAGATGGCTTCCCAGTGTTTGTTCAGACTCCACAGCATGGCCTTGTATGCAGGTTCTTCTCAACACCCTGTTGTCACACTCCTTATCCTGGGACAACAGATATGGTAGCATCAGCCTCCAGAGAGGCCACACTCTTTCATACATCCAAGCCTCTTGCCTTTGCACATGCTCATTCCCCACCTACCCACTTGCTTCTGGCACACTCCAGCTCTTCTTCACAGCCCAGCTATGGTCATCTCTTGCAAAGCTTTTTGCTACTCCAGCCTACCCTCCAGCCTATCCTCAAGCCTAGTGAGTGAATGCCGTGTGCTTCATGATGCTGCTGCCTACTCTGGGTGGTGGTTCATTTCTCTGCCGGTCTTTCTCCCAGCCAGCAGCTCTTTAGTTAAAGGGAGGAAGCCTGGGTTGTCTTTTTGACCTCCAGGCTCACCCCAGCCTATGATATGTCAGCCTCAGCAAAGATATATGGAGGGCACAAACAAAAATCTGGCTGGTCTTCTTTACAAAGCCATTGTGTTAGCTACGAATTTGTGGGATGACAGAGTAGGGGTACCCCTGGTGGGGTGGAGTGGGGTACTAGTGGGTGATGCAGGGTGAGGCATATGTTGGATATTAGTGAGGTATTGGTGTGATAGTGGGTTCCATGGCTGAGGGCCTGGGATTGTCAGTGGGTAACTGTGGGGTGGGTGGGCTGAATGGGGCATTCTTGGGAGTGGTGAGGTGCCCATCCTTGAAGAGAGTGGAGACATCCGTGGGTAGACGTGGGATGCTCCTGAGAGTATCCTTTGCTTTTTTCTGGGGCTCTGAGCCTAGTTTGAGTGTGGAGTGTGGGTGTATGGCTGAGCAAAAATATCCTGCTTATCCTCTCTTGTCCTTCCAGGTTGTTCTTCGTGGGCTCCCGTGAGGGCCACCTCCCAGACCTTCTGTCCATGATCCACATTGAGCGTTTTACACCCATCCCTGCTTTATTGTTCAATGTAAGTCCTGCTGGGAGAGTGGGGCTCGGGCGGATCTGCGCAGTGCTCCTAATTTGCGCTAAGTTGTTACATACATGCAATAGGAATCTTGAGAAAGGCCTTTCTTCAAGATTTTAAAAACAGTTCATTTTTTGTTATCATCTAGTTCTTTTATGGTTTTATTGTTTAAGTTTCAATTCTGGATTCTTCTGCTATTTATATTTCTGTATATTGAGTGAGGTGGGGATTCACTTAATTTTTTCTCAAATGGCTAGCCAGGTATACCAGTATCATTTATTGAACAATCCATTTTTCCAGTTTTCTAACTTTTACCATATGAAAGAAATAATAGGTAATTTTTAGGGTGTTTAATACGTGCAAGTACAATGGTATGCCCCTTCAGTGTATCATTATCTCAACTACTCTTCCCCATTAGCACCAAGCTCCATTAGTTTAGCTTTACTCTGCATATCTGAAAATTAAAGAGGGAATGAGGATACTTCTTCTTTAATTTTGTTCCCTTCCGAATTTTCCTGGCATTTCTCACATTTGTCTTGATGAAGTCTGGTATCATTTTGTCAAAATGATAGAAAAATCCTCTCATTATTTTGTTTGGGACATTGAATTTATAAATTTAGGAGGGGAAAAAAATAAATTTGGGAGGGAATCTGACCTCTTGTTTATGTCAGTTTTTCTCCTACTTTTCTCCTCTTAACACAGGGTCCTCCCTTGTCTCCACAGAATGGACTGTTTTAAACCCTTTGTTGGTAATTCGGGGTGAAAAGATAGGTAGGGGGAATTCTACATTCTTGAAGTTTAAGCAAATCTGACCTTGTCCTGGGGCTGTAGTCCCTGACCCCTGTCCTCTAGGATTCTTTTGTTCCAGAGGGTAAATTCTATCATAACCCTATTTTGAAGGTGTATAGATCCATTTTGATAATTTGCATTTCTGAGGCCCCAGCACAATGAGATGGTTCTGGAGGCATTTCCCCCATTTGCTTGCCAGGTAACTGGGACCCAGGTGTTCTGTGTTGAGGTTGGTGCATTGAAGTGTGGAGGGCCTCACTGTCTGCCGTCAGAAGGGGAAAGTAGTCTGGCTTGTTACTAAAGTGCTTATAAGAAGAAGGGAGGCATTGAGTGGAGGAAGGGCTCCAACAGACGAGGGAGAGATGCTGCCTTGAAGTTTCATGTAGAGAATGGACCTGTCTGATGCCAAGGGGTCACTGAAAAGATCTGGAGGTACTCTAGTGAAGCCACATCAGGTCCAGCACTGATTGCTGTATGGTGGAGTCTTCTGGGGTGGGCTGGTGGTTACAATGGTCCCTCCTCCTCCCCATCCCTCCGCCCACAGTGCACCATGACACTCATCTACCTCATCGTGAAGGACGTTTTCCTGCTTATCAACTACTTCAGCTTCAGCTACTGGTTCTTCGTGGGCCTGTCTGTCGCTGCACAGCTCTACCTTCGCTGGAAGGAGCCCGAGCGGCCCCGGCCTCTCAAGGTCAGCAGCTCTGGGCAGACTGGGAGGGTCAGGCCATCTCAAGGTGCCTTCTTGCCCGTGCCCTGTTTCCTCATCCCACCTTACTTAATGTCTCACCCCCCTCCCTTTCAGCTGAGCCTGATCTTTCCGATCGTGTTCTGCATATGCTCCGTGTTTCTGGTGGTTGTGCCCCTCTTCAGTGACACTGTTAATTCCCTCATTGGCATCGGGATTGCCCTCTCCGGGATCCCTGTCTACTTCCTGGGTGTTTACCTGCCAGAGTCGCGGAGGCCAGTCTTTATTCGGAAGGTCCTGGGTGAGTTTCTCTTTGTCCCATCAGTCAGTGGCTCTGTGTGTGTTTGTGCTAATAACTTCCCTCCCATACCTGTGATTGGCTGGAGGCCAAGAGACCGGGATGCTCACGACTTCCCTTTCTTGAGGAGCTATGACTTTAGTTCTAACTTTAGTGTCCTACTTAGGGGTTAAAGCACTACCTCCTGACAGTGCAGTCTACCTAGGAAGATGAGGAGCCATGCATCACACTCTGGTTGGGCATGGGACAGAGGACAGTGAGGCTTATTGGGAGGGGCAGAGCCTGGCTTAGGGTCCCCAAGGGACTTGAGGGGAGGGAGCCACAGATGTGCTTTAATCAGCCTTGTGGTGTTCATATGGGGGCTGTAGCTAGATGTGTTTACTGAATTCTGTGCTGCTTTTATTTTCATTTAGCTGCTGTCACCAGAGTCACCCAGCGGCTTTGCTTTTGTGTCCTGACTGAGCTTGATGTAGCTGAAGAGAGAAAGGTTGAGAGGAAAACTGACTAGAGGCCAGAGGTGACTTCCCCTGAAGCCCAGAAAGCTGACCACAGGTGGCTGTGGCCACCAAAGTCCTGGTAACAAGACTGTGTGGGCCCAACTCTCCTGAATTAAAGGAGCCTGTTGACCCACATCACAAAGGGGTCTCAGGGCAATGCTCACTGTCACTGGTACACTCCTGGAAGACACTCAGGGTCTGGGGCCAGCTTCAAAGTGGGGACTTCAGAGGGTGGGGGGCAGATTGGGGAACAGGGGAATGGTCATTTTGTTTTACTCCTGGTGGGTAGGTGCAGCTCTTACTTGGTAAGTTGTGGTGGGGGAAGGAGTGCAAGGTTGCCAGCTATGGCTGGTGGCTTCTGCATTTGATATCTGAGGTTTGAACCAGGAGTCTCTACAGTGGGGCTGCTTTATGGAAATTTTTCATCTGACCAGGTCCAAGCATCTGACTTTAGAGGCCTGAAATGCTACCATTTCTTCCTCTGGCTCAAAATCCTTCTATGGGGAGAGAGTTGTATTCCATTATTTATTGATACTATTTAATCCAGAACACCAATTCTGAGAAAGCATTAGCATTCATTCATCTACAGGATGCAACAGGCTGACTGTATTTAAAAATTCAAAGTACCCAAAGCTGAGTCCCTCTGCCCTATGTGGTGGTGAGTCAAACTCTGATCACAGATTTTATGTCCATTTAGCACAATCTTCTGTTAAGTCTTATCTGCAACAGTGAACTTTAAAGATTTTTCTACTCATGGACCTGTTATGTTAGTATATAGATCACATGTTTTAAGCCCCTGGCTCAGGTCCAGCAAGGGCAAATGAACAAATTCCTAAGTCAGAAGTAACAATGTGAAGGATAATCCTTTATTTTAATTGAGGCCATGGGTCTTTGTTCTAGCTGATAGAAAGTAAATCTCTAGGTTTCTGGCACGAACTTCAAGAGGGCCGAAACTGTTCTGGAATCAGGTGGATCGCCTGAATTCTTTCAGCTGTCAGTGGCTTGGAGAACATTTCTTGGGCCCAAATCATCAAATAACTTGTTTCTCTCTGTAAGGGCCAGTGTGAGGGATTGCTCTGCAGACCTAAGCAAGCCTACCCTGGTGCTATAAGAGGTCATTGTCTTTTTCTGAAAACCTCACATCAGGCTGCATCCTCCTCTCCTCTCTGGCACAAGGCTTTGTTTACATTTGGAGCTGCCTTGGTGTGGGTCCTCGGGATAATGCACTCCTCTCCTGCCGACCTCCCTGTGCTTCTGAGGTCTGGTGGGCTTCAGTCTCAGGAAGAGCTTGGTACTTGTGGGGATTTCTGTTTTCTCCCTGTGGAGATCTGTGAAGACTGGGAGAAAAGCCACTTCAACCTCACTCTGGCTGCTCAGCAGACTGCATGAGTGGAAGCAACTAATTCTGGTGCTCAGTCTGGGCTTTGGCACCCTGGTCAGGCCAGAGCAGTAGGTCTGGCCTAATGGATCTTCCTGCATGGGCAGGGAAGCTGCATTGGCTTGTACAACTGTTTTGTGATACCCCCACTGTCATCCTGGGCCCAGAAGAACCAGCTGACTTGGCATAGCTCATGGGCCTCTGATCCTTACGTTTTGGAATTGGTCAACGGCAAAGTCAATGAGGCAGTCTTCCTTTGTGACCATTCTTCTCCACCAAACTTGCCCAGTCATAGACAAAGGAGTAACCTTGATTATACACCTGCTCAATAAAGAAGATTGAAGGCAGCATGATCACTGTTAACTTGGGTTCAGGACTTGCATCTGTGATAACATGGGAGGACATTCCTACTGTCATGGGTTAAGGATTTATACAGTAAATTCTTGCCTGACGACAGGGAGTCTTGTGCAAGACTGACTTGCCTAAACTATGAAAATATGATTCCTGTCTGAGCCAAACTGGCACCTATCCCAGGGCTCCTCTGGAGCTAATCCTTGAAGCAATGTGTGCTTGTCTTCAGGACCCCTGACTGTGGCTTTAGATTTCTCCACCCAATAACCAGCTAATCCCAGGAACTTCCTGCCCCCCAGTGGCCCCTAAGAGAAGAAAGGGCCTCACACTCCAGGTACCCCAGTTCTTGCTTAGTTAGCCATGTCATCCCCTTCTCATTTTTGGACAATGAAAGCATTTTTCCCTCTGTGCTGGATCCAGACTTCTCCCAGGAACCCTTCTGTGGGCGCAAAGCCAGAGACTCCCTACAGCACTCAGCCTTCATGGTGGAATTAATTTCTGCCAGTTCTTTGTTGTTTCCCTCCTTAAGTCCTTCTCCTGCTGTGCTAATCCCTTCTACAGTGGGTACAGTGTGTGATGTCGTCAGCCCTTTAATGTTGGAGAAACTTTAACGAGTACATAAACAGTAGTGAGCACATTATAATGGCACAGAGTGGTTTTTAATCCTTCATTTCTATGCCTATAGAAGGAAACTAAGATGACTAGTATTAGACATGGAAGTTGCTGCCTCTTAATTACAACACTTGAGTTTGTGGATACTTAGGATGGGAAAACTAATAGTCTATTTGATAGTTTAATTAGCTACAAGAGTAGGGCCTGAGCACACAGAATTTAATCACTTTGGTAGGTTTAACAACTCCATGTAGATAGGAACTTATATAAAGGCCTATAAAATGGATATAAAGTCAAAGAATGGGTGGAGGTAGGATGGAGGAGAGATGATTATGAAATCTTAAAAGAGGTGGGAAGAACCCATGTCCCTATATAATTCACTTTCCCATAGGATAGTGAGTGAAACTGTCAGAGGGCAAGAGGATACCCCTTGAATCAAATATTCTGTGTGTTGTTTCCCTAGACCTGTGCTGTGCAGTACAGTAGCTACTAGCCACATGTAACTAATTAAATTAAAATGAAATATAAATTAAAGACTCAGTTCCTGAGCTGCACTAACCATATTGCAAGTGTTCAACAACCACATGTGGCTAGTAGCACTACTGCATGGTACAGACACAGAACATACTGATCACCACAGAAAATTTTAGTGGACGATGTTATGCCAGAAGAATAAACAAACACCAACCCAGTCAGAATGAAGGCAGCTGTGGTTTGGGGAGGAACAGGGACAGAGAGTTTGCTCATGGGAGATACAAGTTCTGGTACCAAAATTGGTCTTACTGACCGTGGTTTGTTTCGGGTGAGTGCTATGAATACTAAACATTTCTCGATGGAAAGCCACATTCAGAATGTGCTTTCTTTTTCCTCACTTGCCTTGAGTCCTTAGTGTCTATGATCAATTCTGAAACTTCTGTCTCACCACCCCTCCCCCTTTTTGTGTAAGTACAATGGGAAAACACCTAAGATATTCAGATTTAAAAGGTTTTAAAGGGATCACTTGCTTGCATGGTCAAAGCTGGTTTTTACTAAACATAGTGCATCACATTCATACATATTCTGTCCACTGGCACCACTGTCAAAGAAAGACTTCACTCTTTATAACCATTTCAGAGTCTAGAAGCAGGAAGGCAGAGACAGCTGTTACCTGAAGTCTCACACAGATTCTACTTCTTGTCCTAATGGCCATTGTTGTCACAGGGCCCGTGGCAGAAGCTCATGGATATCACAAGACCATCAGTCCGAATCCAAGTCGTGGGGGTTCTCATAGCCAAATTCCTTCTGTACATCCAAAGGGTATTTGTTCCATATCTGATGTCTGCTACTGCCTCTTTCCTCCTCACTGAGGCTGTTATATTCATCAGAGCCTAGAATGAGATACCAGTAGTGGTCTCTTAACCGGAGAGTGTATGTCTGATTTTTTAGGCTATCACAAGAGACCCTTCCCTTCTCATAAAGGTCATTTTCTTGTTCCCCATTACAAAATACTTGCTCAATAAAGAAAATTTAGATTATACAACTTTTTTTTTAAAAGCAATTGTATTTCTGCTATCTAACTCAAGTCCCTTAAAACTGGACTATTTTGTCACTTCCCCACTAAATACAGGATTTCTTTTTCTATATAATAGTTGCAGTCATATTATAAATATTTTTGCACTTTTCCCCTTTCATGGTATTACTGGCACCTCCCCAATAGGACATTACATTGTTTAACTATTCCTCTGTTATCAGACACCAAGAAAATCTTTCTGTTGGCACTTAGGACATAGTCACCAAAAGAGCTATGTTGCTAGGCATCTTTCCTTTCTCTTCCCAGAGGTACCAGGTCTGTGTTGCATCTTTCTGAAAACATTTGTAAATGCAGCAGTTTCCTCAGAGGTTAGATAGCTGACTCATGAAAACCCTGGGACCATTCCTACTGGAGAACCTCTTTCTCCAATACTTTCTTGACTGGAGCAGAAAAAGAGATAATGAATGAGCTACATATTTTATTAACCTCAGCCACTAAAGTAGGTGTAGTATTGTCTCATTTTCTGGATAGAAAATGAGGCTCAATGAGGTGAAGTAATTAGCCCAAGATCCATAGCTGGGCAGTGACAGAACTAAGGATTTAAAGCCAGCCCTGAGAGACATTACACACCCAGAAGTCCCCCTGGAAACACTGGTCTTGGTGTTTCCTACGTTCAACTTGTGTGGATGAGCTATAGCAACTCAATGGCAGAAAAGAAAAACCAGTTAAGATGTACCTGTTAGCTATGCTTACACCTCAGTCTTGGATCCTACTGGTCCCTCCCCATCCAGGGCTGCCACCCACCTCTGGAAGCTTCATCTCCATCACTGCTCTCCTCCTCCTCTGGGTACTCATTGCGCCAGTTGTTCTCACTGTTCTCGTCATCTTCATCGTCATAAACATCCTCTGGTTCTTGATCATCATTCACCTGCACACATCAACACAACATGAGTCTAAGTCAAAACCTCTAAGGTTATGCTCTTTGGAGGAAGCTCTTAGCATACCAGCTTGGGGAGATGTTGCGTAAGCATACCAGGTGAAAAAAGGGCAGACTAGGAGCTAGTTTGACTCTGATGCACAAGAGAAGGGAGATATTAATAGTAGCCCTTCTCCATAGTCAAGCTCCAGACACCACGTTCCTGGTGGGATAGGGTGGACTCCACCACAAGGGAACACAAGATAGAGAGGAATGATGGCTCTGAGCCATCTGAGTCACTTCCCCCCTAAATACAGGATTTTCTTTCTCTGAGTAATGGCAGTTATCTTCAAATTCCTGGAGGGCAGCAAGGTGGGAGAGGGATTATAGGAATGGGTGAAGCCAAAGGCTAGAGCCAAGACCCAGGAGCAGGAAGGCAGGAGGGCCATACAGTGGTCCAAGGTGGGTGCCTGACTGCAAATCTATGGTTCCAGTGCAGGTACAGGATACAGTGCTTCTCTTACAATGTGAGTATCACAGGACTCACCTCAACTTTTTTTGTTGATATTTTAGAATTTAAGAATAATGGTGTCAGGACCTTAGCTTTCTTTTTATTTATTTATATTTTTTATTTTTCCTGAAGACAAGGTCTTTGTTGCACATGCATGAAGACAGTGGCATGATCATAGCTCACTGTAACCTCAAACTCCCAGATCTTGTGATCCTTCTTCCTCAGCCTCCTGAGTAGCTGGGACTATAGGCATGTACCAGCAAGCCTGGCTAATTTTACTATTTTTTGTACAGACAGGGTCTCATTATGTTGCTCAAGCTGGTCTTGAACTCCTGACCTCAAGGGATCCTCCCACCTTGTCCTCCCAAAGTGATAGGATTACAGGCATCAGCCATCCCGCCTGGGCTAAGAACCTTAAGCTTTCTTCATCCAAGGTCTTATCCTCTTAAGATACAATGTAAGAAATAGGTTTTGTTGTCATTAATGTTAAGAATTTCTGGTTCTATTTTTTTCTTTATCTTATTAAATAAGTTCCTATGCATATTTTTTAGTGAGTAGCTATAAATAATAAAGATGATGTTGCAAACCTTGTAAAAGATTCATTAAAAGCAAAAATTATCAACATAGATGCTTTTCTCCAAAATTCTCTGCACTAAACCCAGGTTCCTTAACAGCATTAAGAATAAATTTTTCCTTTTAAGCAAGACAAGAACTAAGCACAAAGTTGATCAGGACTACAGCTCAGGGAGGCAAAGCACTGACTAGAGAAAGAGCTTAGGACGCCTCATGCCCCCGTCCTCATAGGCCCCCTTACCAGCTCCCACTCTTGGCTATAGGGCTGCACAGAGAGGATGTTCTCAATCCACCCTGAAGTGGCCATCTCCAAGTAGTAAATGTCATACACATAGTTGTCATGCTTTTGTTCCTCCTGGTGCCTGACTCCTGGTCCATCCTCAGATATAGTCAACCGCTCACGGATCAACTCTACAGAATTGCAGAGGATCACATTGGGGTCAGATGTCTGTAAGGAAAACAGATTATCCACGTATGACTCTAAACATGATGTTCCAAGAAGAGGAACTTAAGAGTTGGGTAAAAGGAAGGCTCCTTAGAGTTCTCTGTTGTGTTCAAGACTCTTACCCCGTGGACTACTAGTATATTCTTAATTAGCTATGAAATTAAAAAATCAAGAATCTCTATAAAATTGAAGTGTAGTTCTTTTGAGATAGAAACATACAAAATAGCTATTACTCTTTTGTGCTTGGCTGATACAAAAGAGCCTATGGGAGGACTGACCCGAGGAGAGGGGAGGGCCAGAAGAGCTAGCCAGTCTTGCTCCCCAAGCTCTGAGTGAGACCTGCTTCTATAGGTTTTGTCCAAATTCCTTTGGTATGATATTCTCCCTATGGGGATTAATAGGCCCACCCCAGCACCTCTATGGCTGATCCTGAAATGGGTCTACATTTTGTGCAGCCTCTTATAAAGGCCAACAGGTGATTCCTGGGACCCCTACCATCACCCATCATTTGACTTGCCCTCTATGACATCCTGGTTTTATTTATTTATTTATTTATTTTGAGACAGAGTCTCACTCTTTTGCCCAAGCTAGAGTGAGTGCCGTGGCGTCAGCCTAGCTCACAGCAACCTCAAACTCCTGGGCTCAAGCGATCCTACTGCCTCAGCCTCCCAAGTAGCTGGGACTA